ATGGGTGTGTCAGAGGCAGTGCGGTTGGCGCAGGATAGAGCAGGGTTTAGGGCTGTTGTGCATAGGGTCGCTATGAGTCGCAAACGACTCAACGGCACATAACAACAACAACAATATATATTAAAACCTGAATCTGCTTATTTTAATTTCAACTTTGACACACTTTAGGTTCAAAGAATAATCTTTAAAAACACACAGAAGACAGATTTAGGAAGCTTATTCGTCCTGTTTGCTATGTGCTATATGAAAGAAAACTTGTACTTGTTGGAGGGTCATATATGGGTCGCTTCCAACTTGATTATAAACAACAACATTCTAAGGGCATCCAGGAAACCAAAAGATGTATTGCAGTGGGAAAGTCCACTGTCAGGGACCTCTCCCAAGTGCTAATAGCAATGATGTCAGTTTGAAGACTAAGGTGCATCTGAGCGAAATCATAATCTTTTCAATGACTTGCCATGCAGCTGAAAGTTGGACAATGAAAAAGGATGACAGAAGAATTGATGCCTTTGAGTTGTGGTGTTGGAGAAGAGTTCTCAATGAATTATCTATAGCTGTCAAAAGAACAGATAGGTCTTGAGGACAGTGCAACCGAGTGCCACTTGGAGGGAAGGATGGTGAAACTTTGTCTCACATATTTTAGGCACGATGTTAAAAGGGGACAGTCCTTGGGAAAAGACATCATGCTTTGAAAGGAGGAAGATCACCAAAGGAGGGGAATATACTCAATGAGATGGACTGACACAATGACTGTAATGGTGGACATGAGTACGGCAGAAATGGTCAAGACAGCACAAGATAGAGCCGGGTTCAGCTCCATCATACACAGGGTCACTATGAGCTGTAGGTGGACCCCACTGTGCTTAACAACACTTTAAGAGCAGGGAGCTCTGGAGACAGGGGGTCATATTGCCAATCTAAAGGCAGGTAAATGAATCCACGAGCTGCTACATGGGAGAAAGATGGGCAGTCTCCTCCCAGGTAATTTACCACCTCTGAAACCCCAACGGAGAGTTGGCTAGGAGTTGGTTCCAACTCAACGGCAATGAGTGAGTGATGAGTGATTCTAAGAGGAGAAGGGAAGCAATAACTGTCTACTTCTAGATATTTAGGCATAGCACCGATGTATTATGTTACTATACTAGTAATGTATGCTATGTTGCTACTACTAGAACATTTGATCAATGAAAAGAAATCTTGCACATATACCTTCCAACTGAAGTAAATACCTTCTGACAAGTTGAAATGTTAGTATTTCCTTAAAAAAAAATAGAAAAATGTTACTAAACAACTCAAACTAAACCCACAATCAGTGCATAGATTATGCATAGATTACCGTTGATAGTGAGGAAGAAACCACCCCTTCAGGTTTCCAAGGCTGACCCTAATCATGCTATTCTCAATGCCTTCAAATGCATATGGAAGTTGGACAATGAATGAACAAGACTGAAGAAGAATTGATGCCTCTGAAATGTGAAACTGGTGCAGAATATTGAATAACCCACAGACTGCCAAAGAACAAACAAATCTGTCTTGGAGGAAGGACAACCAGAACGCTTCTTAGAAGTAAAGATTGTGAGACTTTGGTCTCACATTGGGTATGTTGTCAGGAGGGACTAGTTCCTGGGAAAGGAATTATACTTGTAAAGGTGGAGGGTCACTGAGTAAGAGGAAGGCGTGCAATGAGACAGACTGACAGAAAAACTACAAGAAGGGGCTTAATCACAGTAGATATAGTGAAGATGGTACAGGATTGAGCAAGCTTTCAATCTGTTGTACACAGAGTTGCTTTTTGTCTGAGAAGACATAAAAGCATCTAACACATCGTCACAGAAGCCGACTGACATGTCCTTATAACAGCTGATGGGTTCAAAGTGATAACCTTGTAGTTAGCAATGGAGCACTTTAACCACTGTTCCACCAGGGCTCTAAATATCACTAAATGCCTGAGACATGTTCTTTTAACAAACATAAAAGGTCACATTGAAATTTGTTTGTAAAAAACAATAAACAGTATTCTTTGCCTGCAGAATGCACGCATACAACCACCACTGCTCTTTAAAATAATTGCCAGGATCATACTGTATTGATCCAAATTAAGAAATCTAAATAAGAGAGAGCCCATGACCTCTCATGTGGCTAAGAGACAAATAAATGTCTGACTGCTAAACATTTGCTGTTCATGTTCTCAACCAGAACTCTGACTCCACCCCAACCCCGCCCCCAAGTGAGGGTTCATGTTTGAGACAAGTGTGCACTACAAAGAATAAAGACACTAGTGGCAGCCAGAGGGAAGAATTTGATGGTGTGGCTGTGACTGTTTCTCTGCCAGGTGTCAAGAGCAGCACATGCTTTTTATCCCATATTAATTGCGTTTTGTTCCTCCTTTTGCCCTCTCAACACTCCAGAGCTTTGGCAAATCTGGGATTACTCACACTTTAAACACTTAAAAAGCAAGATGTGAAAATACGGCTTCTCACTCCAATATCTGAGTCTTCATAGAAAGGACTAGAAGCCAAGTCTCTAGACTCTGACCCAGGGCTCTTTGCCTTACTCTCTCAGATTCCAATTCTCCCAACCCAGGAGGTCTTCACAGTTTCCATTTTTAGCTAATAATCTGAGCAACTAATCTGAGTACTGTCTCCTTCCATAGCTCTGTGTAAAGTGACTGTGGTTTTTATTAGAATCCCTAAACAGTGTTAGGATAAGCCAGCAAAAACACTAAAAAAACCAGATTATCTGCAAAACTTTAAGATGTCTTAGCATTATCTAGCAGTACTTTGGAACTGTTCCCCTGCTGTGACACAAATAGAACATGACAGTATGTGTGCAGCTGCTTAAGGGCAGGAGTGACCAGAGGCAGGCTCTGGAGACTCCAGGTCATGCCCAGCCTGACAGGGGGCCCAGGGAGCGTGTGTGGCTCCTGTCACCTGCTGGCCACATTACAGCAGCAGGCAAACTTTTTAAAACCTGCATCATAAGGTAATCCCACTTGGCCAGACATGAAAGTACACAAACCAGTGACACCCCAACGCCCGGCTCTGACAGTGGGGAGGTCCCCCCCCCCCGCCCTCCGCTAACTGATTGTGGACATGTCCACTTAGTGTCCTGTTAAAACTATGTAAAACTGCACCCCGATTTTGCCAGGTACCATGGGAGAAGCTGCCCAAAGAACTGCCTCAAGAGAATTAGTTTGATAGTTCAACCCTGCCACCACTGCTAGAACAACTCTAAAATAACCAATGACGGTAATAAGGTCTTCCGATACCTCAAAGATTACAGCTTGCTTTAAGAGCCAAGTCGTAAATTACAACGTACAAAGGAAATCCAGAGAATGCATCTGCTGCACCTTATTTGGACCAGCATACTATTTAGTGTCACATTTATGTCAGCACCTAACTTGCAATTTCTTTTTATTTGCTTAAGTTTTTTGCTTAAGTAATTTTATGCATTAAACTTGTTCTTTGAGAAAACAGTTCATTAATTAGAGCAAAAAAGCACAGAATTAACAACCCATTGAAATGCACAAGGATAAATGTGAACGTATGTTTATTTACAGCTTTCATTGCTTAAATTGCAAATAAAATTATCAATTCAATTGCTATACTTTCAGAAGAGAAATAATTTTTTCCATTCTCTTTTAAAAAAACTGAGTACAAATTAATACAGTGGAGTAATAGAAACAAAATTACATATAAAACATGACTTTAAACACAAATGTACTTCCTTTAGATTAGCAAACATAATATGTAATTGTTGGTAACAAGAGCCAACAAAAATGGAATATAGACATCGGTATCTTACGGTATTTGTATATTCTATTATGACAACAAAAACAGTAAGTTTTAAATTTTTACCAAAGAGGAATATAAACATATAAATAGGAAAATCTGTTCCTTTTATACTTTCATCTGAAATTATTTTTCTCAATTAATAAAAATGCTTACTTTTAAAAGGTATGTATCACAGCTGCCATACATATCTCTTACATGCATAACACACTTTTCATCCTATAAGAAAATTAGGACTATTTCCAGTGGACTTTAATTTAATGCCAAACCCTAAGCTGCTTCATGTAACCCACAGAGGACTGAAAGCTAGAACTGTATTGTATTGGAGTGTAGCATACATACTGTATTGCCCCGTGCTAGTCTGATATATGCTAGTCGGCAATGCCATGGTAGCAATATTAGGTGGCGTTCCTTCTTCTTCTGGTTTTTCTTCTTCAATCTTGGAAACACCAGGCACATCAGAGGAAAGTTCATTCAGTATTTTTCTAAAATGAAATGCAAACAATGTAAGTAATTAAGGTAGGTAAATAAAATTTAAAATAGAAAAAATTATACTGGAACACTCTGTTCGAGATATAATTATTCCTTTTTGGAAGAAGTTATTATTAAAGTAGGAAACATTATTAACTTACCTGTAAGAGGGTCTTCGTGAAAGTATTTCTCTACGCTTATGAGAATCAATTACACCTTCTGATTCTGCAGACTCATCTGTCTCTGCAATTGTTGCTACCTATAACACAAGAGTTTCTGAAATGCATCATAAAATAAATGATCTTCTCCCTCAAGCAACCAACAGTGTATAGGTGATGGTATGATGGTATTGCTGTGGCAAACCTGGAGCTCACAGTCTTGCTTTAAAAAGGCAGTAGAAGCATAAGCATTTAAGATGTAAAGCATATGTATGCGTCAATGAGGAAATGAGTGGTAGAGATAACAGAGTCTACAGAAATGCAAAGCATAGTTGAGTTGTCAGATGAATTTGCACAGGAAAAAACTGAACTTAAAAATGCGTAAGTTCTCACCTAACAACAAGAAAACCTCTGGACAAGATTTGGTTCCTTGAAGTTCCTGCAAGGATAAATATTATACCAACCACTTCTAAGTCAACTTGAGAAGCATAATTACCAAGCACATTGTGAGTCATCCAGTTAGCTTTCTCCTACAGATGAATCTGTCTGATTTGGGAGAAATTCAAAGATTTTTTTTTTTAACATTGTTCCCTATGGATGACCTCATCACTGCCTATCTCAAACTAAAGAGAGTAAGAGACTAGGGGCATTAGTCCAAAAAGAAGTTTCTTTTTTTTTTCTACTCTTTGATTATAAATTCTTTGTCTAAAGTAAAATAAGCTAAATGAAATAAAAGTTTATCAAAATAAAAAAAAATGCGTTAAGTTCTAAGATCCTAAACTGAAAATGCCCTTCAAAATTCAAATGGAAGGGAGTGAAAGGCAGGAGAAACGCCAAGGCTGCATGTCACTGAGGTTTTCTTCTAGTTGACTTGAACATGGTCTTCCAATTAAGGGTTGCACACACACAAAGAATAGTTACACAGGAAAGAAAGGAGTCAAGTAGACTGGTTAAAAATCATGATGTATATTAGAAGAAAGAGATTGGATTTTGGTGGTGGTAGATGGAGGGTCAAAATAAGGAATTTCACCTTAAAAGAAAGATCAGCATACTTCACTTTTTTTTTTTTGCCATTGTACTTTTATTCACTATGTGCTGCCGAAGCGAGCATTTCACTTTTAAAGCCAATTAATACTCATTGTAATAATATGATTAAAGCTAGAAAGCCAAAATAATAAAATTTCTCCACCAACACTATCATATGCACTTCATCATTTAACTCTGAGAACCTAAGGTGATTCTGCATCACAAAAATCCTTAATATAACAAATACATAAGAATCTGGTTTGTGCATAGTAAAGTGGACTGGGGGATTGGACAACAATGAAAGAATATTTTTTTCCAAAGAGAAAAGTGAACTGGGGGTGGACAGGGAGGAAAATGTGCAAAAATGAATGTATGGAAATACAAGTGTTCTGTATTTTCATTAAAATCTCAATTAAAAAAAGAATCTGATTTGGAGAAAATCAAAAGAACTTTTTAAAACATCAACAATGCAAAAAAAAAAAAAAGAACACATAATTCTCAAAGAACATGCATGTTTATACATGTCTGTCAACAAATATGGCCATGCAGCTCTTGGCAGGGACACCAACACATAAAAAATATTCACACCAGGAATAATAATAAAAGATATTGGAAAAACTAGTTATTGCCACAAGACAATCCTATACCACCCTCAAATATTTACACTTTTCACTGTTTTGTTTTTTTCCACTTCTTTCATGTGATCATAATAGCTCCAGAGTTGATGAGTTTGGCACAGGATAGAACAGAATTGAGAGCTGTTGTACCTATACTGAGTCACTATGAGTTGCAAGTGTCTTGATTACACTTAATAATAACAACATGTGAGGTAGGCAATTATTTACTCATGTGAAGGAAAAATTGATGTTTATACAGAAATCTTAAGTGATTTGTCTGTGCCCAACAGGTTCGGATTTTCAGACAATCTCCACCAGAACACTTATATACAAAGGAAGTATTTCACTTAACAAAAGTCATACAAAGGCAACTGAATTTAAGATGGTATTTTTCTCAAATAGGTATAGTTAAAACTATACCTAGTAAATATCTATAATCCAACAAAGTTCAGAATACAAAGAGGGCACTACAAAGACTTTCTTGTTTTCTAGGGGTTAGGGAGAGTCAGAAACTCTTAGAATCAAGGGCCATCACAAGAAAACGAAGGGCAACACAGGGAGAGATTCCTCTGATGATGGAGGCTGACTTGCAATGCTTGCATATTTATCATCTGAAGTATCACCCTTGTTCCGCAACACCCAGCCTTATCCTGAAATAAACTATATACTCAAACACGCAGGAAGACGAGGCTGGCTAACAATATCCATCAACCTGTTTTCCTCACAGATTTTCTTAGTCAGCAATTAAGATCAGAGAACATAGATATCTGAAAGGATAATAAACAACTGACCTGACAACACACAAAAATAGACTGACCTCAACAAGAAACAGAAATAAATAAACAAGAAAATATGCTTTAAGAAAACAACAACAAAAGCCATTGCAGGCATTTACAAGATCATTAACATCTTTGGCATGAAGGAATTTTCAAGGTTTATGACTAAGTTGGATGGTAACAGGTAAGAAAATACATCTCTGGATCACAACCACAGCAATGAGGTGGACAACAGCCAAGTTTTGATCTGAGAGGGGTATGTGATGCATAACCACAGCACCAACGTGCCACTGAGACCACATTATTTTCAAAGAATTATGTATTTTTCATTAAGAGTAAATGTCTCTCTAAGTATGTAAACCATTTCCAAAATAAAGTGCTCTCTCTTTTTCTCTCTCTCTCTCTCACACACACAAGAACTTCACTATATATTATATTATGCTCTAATATATTTTATTATATATATATAAACATCACTGGTTATACTTCTCTGGAGACTACTGCCTAAGATATCCAGAAAACAAAGATAATCAGACTCTGGGTTTAAACTCTTAAGAAGAGCATATATTTGCAATCCAGAAGGAGCGTGGTTTGAATCCACCAGATGCTCCACTGGAGGAGGGGCAATCTCCTCCTGTGCAAGTCGGATCTGATTCAACGGTACACAACAAGGAAAAAAAATTTAAAAAAAAAGGAAGAGCTTATTTAATTGGGATCCCCCTCCATAAGAGACTTGAAAATGACAAAAGAAGTAATCTTAGGTAACTAACTAAAACAAAAATAATTTCTAATAAATGCCACTGGACAGTTTTGCTAAATAAACACTTAAATAAGACGTAAACTGTCATTTCAAAAGCACTCATCCTGCAAATTAAGCCCTGACAGCAAACTCACAGCTCTTAAATTGGGTTTATGTATGTAGTAGAGCACAATGCTCTTTAAACTCTCCCAGATGTTTAATAAAACTTTTGAGCATTAAAATAAGACAAAAGAATATATGGTAAGCAAGAAAATCAGTAAAAAGGAGGGAAGGAGGGATAAATACTTGAGAAAAACAAAGGCAAGTCAAGCTAACCTGTGCAGTTTGTATCTGTGGTGACTGAATAACCGATGGCTGTGGTGTCTGAATTACTCCTTGGACATGTACAGTTTGGCCTGAAGGTAACTGCACTAGAGTTACAGCTGGGGAGCCTCTTCCAGTGCCTGATCCAGCTACAGAAACCTGAAAAAAATGATTAAAATTGAGAATGATGGCTCATCCTGTTGGGCTGCACTTTTGTTTTTCAGACATGTCACTCAGGCTTACGACCGGCCAACTTTCCTTTCCTTTTGCCTGCTTCTAGAAGATGACAAAACCAGCTGGGTTCTTACCATTAAAGGGTGGTTACTGTGCTAGCACTGTCCTTCTCGGATGTGACAGATATTAAAGAACCCATGCTCCTCACTTTGGTCCCCATGCTTCGGTGGCTAAGAATGTTCAAGCACCAAGTTCTAAAGCAGTTAAACTACCTCACTACGACCTCATGACTACTAACAGTGAAGCCTTTTTTAGGCCAGAGGGTAAGTGACCCTCTCTAACTTCCTTTTTGCTTTAATTAAAGCAACACTGGAGAGGATCAGTTTTTTTTCCACTATGCAGAATTTTTTATTTTTTAGAAAATGAAAAATTGGGCATAAGCTGTTCTCTACTAAATACAAGCTATATTGTCTGTACTCGTAAAAATTAGACCTATTTTTCTACTTCTGTAATCACACACAAAAAGGCACAGGCCAAAAAATTGCTGGGAGTTGTTTCATGACTTCAGCTGCCTGTAGTGTTTCTGGGCCAAGAGAAGCCCACACCCTGGAACTGGAGCATTCCCACAGTCTGCTTCTCCCCGACCTGGGGCAGCCTGAGAGAAGGCCAGCCCATCATTGAGTGGGGAGAAGGGAGCTACAGCTACGTCACAACCACCCCGAGGGCTTCCAACTGAGATCCCTACAGGCAAAATGGTAATAATACTGCCACTCTCATACCTCAAAGCTTGTCACACTTTCTGACTAATAAACACCTCTGATCTATAGGCAATGAGTAATCTTAGACAATTTCCCCTCATGTTGCTAAGATTCACCATTCATTTGATGCTGATAACCCAAAGACTGTCCAAGACTCTGGAGAAAAGAAGTCATGTGGATACAAAACACACCACCAGTTCTATCACAAGTCATATGAGAGTCTCTAAAGGAAACCTCTATGGTACTTCATTTTAAGGAATACACTAATGATTTCCAATCAACCTGTGCTAGTGCTTGAAAAGAATAAGAATCCTAATAAAATAAAATTAATGAAATATGGGTTTGTAACAAATTATTTTCATTTTTATTTGTAACATTTTTCACTTAGATATCCTGAACAACCCAAAAGTTTTCAAAAACACCTTACAGGCATATAAAAGTACTTGTTATGTTACACACTGTACTTATATGTAGTAGGCTAGAAAGCACACTGATAAAACTACTTTCTAAGGAACAAAAAGTAAACAGTAGAGAAACAACTGTTCAACTGTGTAGACCATAAATGTTAAGAGTTGTATATAAAAAAGGAAACTTGGGTCTGTGTCGGCCTAAATGGTTAAGTGAAGCTTTTATCTGGAAACCAGAATTCTTGATGTGAGCCTGAGTAACAGTGGGATAGAGAGACAA